TATATATATATAAACCAAAATTAAAAATATTTATATGTAAAAATTTATATTATTTTTCTTTTCTTTTATTTTTTTTAAATTGTTCATATTTATTTTTAAAAAAAAGAAAGAAAAAAAAAAAAGGAGCGGGAGCAGGGTTGAGGCGGGAAAACCCGAACCCCGCCGAGAACGGGGATGGGAACCTAGATTTTATCTCCGGTGGATATTGGAGAGAGGGGCGGGAACAGTTTAAATTAGCGGGGGCGAGGGCAGGGAACGTAAAACCCGCCCCCGTCCCGCCCCGCGCATGCCTACCTATAAATTTAAGGTTAGTTTCTTCTTGTACTCTCAACTTTATTTATCACTTTGAATTTATATATAAGGAGAATAGGAGGTATTTTGTGTCTCTTGACATTGAAAAATAATTAAAATAACGAAGAGAGTGATTATTTAAAGAATCATAATTGTTTTGATTTGTAATTGTAATTGTATGTATAGTAGTTATTATAATTTGTAACCTTTTTTTACCAAAATTTTTAACTTTTTAATAATTAAAAAAGTATAATAATCTAATAAATTATAGAGACAAAAATAAATATTGAAATAAATATGTTTTTATGTATTAGTGTAGATATATTGAACAATTGTGTTTATGCTTTGTATTCATTTATTAACTTTAAAATTATGTTATAATACTATTATACTGTTATATATTTTATTTACAAAACAGAGAAGTAACGTTGTATGGTTGCTTATGACAAAGTCTCTGAAGTATTGATTTTGATCTATGATATTTATTTGAATTTAATTATTCTGATGAGCATGTGGTCCATTGAAACAATTAATAACATATAATAGTTTACTTTTTTAAGTTGCAGCATAAAATATTTATATAATTATTAAAATAATTTTAAATATAATTTTCAACTAATTATTTATAAAGTTAAAATATTATCTATGGGAATTTATTAAATTCTTGTAATAAACCTAATATAATTTTTGCTTTAAATATCTGTATTTTGTTTCCTTTTTAATCGTTTTTGTTTTTGAAAAGATACTTGTATAAATTATATAATAAGATATCGAAAAGATTTAAATATATAAATAATGAATTTCAAACACTTTTTAAATAAAAACACACACACAAATTAACATATATATATTTTTTAACATGTATATTCTAGAGAGACAAATTTGCATAAGGCACAGTTTGACAAATGTGAATATTTTTTCTGACATAATATATAGAATGAGAAACTAATTACTTTTACAATAATCTAACAAATTATCAATTTAAGTGATATCCAACTTCATCCTTTTAAATAAGATCTCAATTCTGAATGTGATGTATATATATTAGGTCGATGCCTACAAGAATATACATATATGGGGTTTCGCTCAAATTGGGTTGCTTGCAACTTTCTCTTTTTCCTTTCGGCGGGAAGAAGAAAAGGTGTGGGGGATCGAGTTGGTTCAACCAATGAATTATATATAGTTGGTTTAACTTTAAAGCATATATAAGAGTTAACACTTTTCATTCACAAAAACACGTCCCAAAATCAAGAAAATGCGAGCTTAAAAAAATGGGATGCATGAAGCAAAGTTAGTTGATTTTGGCAGATAATAGGTATGGGAAAAATGAGAACGGAAGTGAACGACTATCAACCTAACACACCTAAATGACCTAATGCGACATGAAACAAAAGGAAAGTGATGAACCCAAGCAAGACTTCAATTTTGGGATGAAAACAAAGTGAAGCCCACTAGCTTTGGTGAAAGTGATGACTAATTTGGTGATGATTACTTCATTGTGATTGTGATCATTTATTAATTAAGATAATATGTTCATCAAGTTCATGCCATCATGAGCAACAAAACAGGCATATAAATTATAGACATGTAACCTTGCCTCCTTTTTTTTATCATGCAAACTTTGCTTTAACATTTAGAAAATCTACGCAAACTTCACCAGTTTTGGAATAAGATTATGAAAAATAAATACGTTAATGTATTTTCTTTACGACACAATTTTTAGCTTCAAAAACTTTATAGTGCCAAAGTATATGAATAAAATAAAATGAATTTAATTGTAATTTTTGTTGCTCATATTTTATGATTTTTTAAATATTTTATCACTGTATTAATTGACTCTCAGATGTCATTAGTTTTTTTTTGTTCATTCATGAAATATCCACCGCTGATAATAGTGACTAATCTCTTCGTTACGTCAAAAGATGGGATAACTGGTCATTAGTTGAACTTTAAAGTAATACA